GGAGATCCCTCCAAAGTGAGGGACGCCACCAGAACTATTACTCCCATCAGAAGATTTCCCCTCTATTCCTGTTCTAGCGATAACCCAAATTTTCAGATTTTCCTTCACATTTGGTTGTAAATGTGAACTGGCTAATAATGAGAATTTATAGTGGTTTGACACTCCAAAGAAAACATTTAATATATTGCAACTTACCAATTCATAGATGATGGCTGCATTCGTTTCCTTTTTTAGGCTTCCTTTCTTTTATTTACCCCTAGTGATGTGGCCAGCTAAGGCAATTCTTTTTCAACAGAACAAGCTGTCCTGCAGATGTAACAGTTAGAGGGTTGAGACAAACCATTTAACACCGACAGGGGTGCTAACAATGATCAGCTTTCATTCATGTAAAACCTTTATCCCATAAGGAAAAAAAACAGTTTGCTTATACAGTTTTAACTGGGAGTTTGGCTTCAATTTGTTAGTTTTTTTAAATCTGCGGATGCTTCTAAAACAATCTGGTGGAGGGCCAACCAAGTGACAATGCGGCTGTCCAAAGGTGTCTCTGTGCTCCATCATCCAGAGTGTAGACACACTAATACAGGAGGTGTGTTACTAGCCAGATCCTACACTCTGGATGATGGAGCACAGAGACAATTATTGGTAAGCTGCAATATAATATATTCTTGGTTTTGGGTTTATTACAGTTTTAGGCCTGGTTCACACATATGCAGTTTTTGCTTTTGATACCTTTCTGCGGTGTTTTTAAGCACACGTTTTATATGTTTTTTTTTAATGAGTTTTGCATGTTTTTTTTTTGGATGACTGGTTGTTGGGCAGATTTAAAAAAAAAAAAAAAAAAAAAAAAAAAGCACCATAAACCCATCAAAAGCACTTTAAAAATGCACTACATGTTTTTCTGCAGGGTCTCTCAAAGTCTTTTGATCCAAACCTGCACCCTTATGTGTGTTTAAAAAAACCCTGACCCTTTCCAAAAAGCAGTGGCTGAAAAATCATAGATGTGAATGTGTTTCATAAGAAACCATGTTAAATGGACTGTAGTGCGTTTCTGAAAAAAAAACCAAAAAATGTGTAGGTGTGAACCAGGCCTTAAAGTGGTTCTAAAGGTTTAAAAGAGCTTGTAAAGACCAAAGGTTTTTTTTTAATGCATTCTCTGCATTAAGGTAAGGTAAAAAAAAAAACCTTCAGAGTTTGTTATATCTGGGAAATTAGGAAAAAAAAAAAAAAAATATCTGTTGATCTTCTAAGAAGTTCAGAGCGGTCCTGTGTCCTTATCCACACCTCCTATGTTATTTCAAGAAGCCAGATTAGCCCTCCTAGTACTTAGCTTTAGGCTACAGGTCAGTTAGTACTTATGTTGAGGAGAGGACGGCAGTAAGAAGTAACTCGGCAGGGCTGACACAATTCAGTCCACACAAATGTTGTGTGCTGTCACAAAACACTGGGATTTCACACACTCAGGCCATAACTGTGTGAAGCATTATGGTTCAAATTATTCATGATCTCCTGCTCTACGGAATATTAAATTGGAGCGCCAGTCTCTGGTGAATAAAATAAAAGTTAACAGCTACAAAAACTGTAGCTTCAGACTTTAAAAAGAAGAAGAAAAAAAAAAAAAAAAAAAAAACAGCCACTCACCTGCGATCCAGCAGTGTACTCAGCTCTGTCGGGTTTGTGACGAACGTGGCGTTAGACCCCTGACCTTCTCACCAAACTCGTGACCGAAGAACCAGCCAATCTAAAACCACGATGTCACGTGCGCAACAATGCCACGCCCAGCTGCACCCCCTGCACAACGATTTTCCAGCTAATTGGACCACAATCTATGTACTGGCAGCCTAGGAGCGATTGTTACTGGGTCAGGTTAATTACACAATTAACCCTTCACACTGCCACCACCTCCTTTTTGTACAGAGAAAGAGGACACTCGGTGATATCAGCTATAACACTATGATGGTTGAGATAATCGTCTGTATAACACTGTCACCGCAGACCGGTTATACAGAGGATTAAACAAACACAGTAGCGCTCTTTTTTTGAGGCAGGAATTCGTAAAATGCAATAAAGAGCTATAGAAAACAGTTCAACACTTTCAGAAGGAAAGATTTATTACTGAAAGGTCAAAAGGGTGCAATAAAAATATTTACAGAAAAAAAGGAGGTAATATATATATATATATATATATATATATATAAATACACAGAACAACAGCACAGCAAAGAGGTAACAGAAAGGAGGTTAAAGGGTTAAAGTACTTGCTAATCAGCTTTGGGTTTGCATTTCAAGTTTCAAAGCAAAAGGGCACGTCTCCTAGGTTGGTTCTGATGGTAAAAGGGAGAATTCTTCAACTTAACTCTCTTAGGCCTGACAACCCATTTTGTAGTTCCCCAGCAGGACCAATACCCAGTTTAGGGAGGGATTGTCTGGGCGTAGGCCTAAACTAGAGCCAAAATCTCTTATAGCTCATATTTTGGCTGATAACTTTCCATATGCACAAGTGACATTCCACCCGCGGGTAGATTATTATGCAGACACATCTGAGGAATGATTAGATATGAAATATGAAATTAAACACTGAATGGTTCAAGAGATCTACTTTCCTGCTTTCCTATATATTCCAGCCAAGGAGAGTGACCTATCAAACGGTTTGTCTCCTCGTGGCCAATCTGAAGATATGCCTGGTTTTTCTGTAAGTCTCTCATATTCCAAGATATGAGACATAGGGGAAAAACGGATTTTAAAAGTGTTATCCGATTCGTGCTTCTCTGGAATGTCTTTGTAAATGATAACGCAAGCCTTTCTGGGAGTTCAATGTGCTAGATTGCACAGCTCTCTTAGACAACCAGGCACTTCAGGGTTCCCTGCTGGGCTCTGGCCTGTGACACTGTTCAACACACAGGCCATATGTCAATGTGTATGAACAGAGAGGAAAGGGGGAGAATGAGGGGAAAATATGGAGAATTCTTAACAAAATGGAGGGCCGTGTCTGCCTCTGGTGTGCACGATTGTGACAGGGTTCACCGACCGTCCTGTGTCCCCAGCGCCAGCATCTTAACTGTGGGCACCCGGCTATGACACCTTGCAGCTTCGCAGCCTGGTGCCCACTGTGCATGCGCAAGCAGTGCTGTGCCTTATTAATAGACCCTTGCACATGTCAGGTGGGGAAGAGAACTTCCACTTCCCATTGCCTAGGCTGACTTTGACAGGTATCCGCTCCCCAAAAGTGCCAATCCTTAATGGGAGCAGGGGACAAGGCCTTAAAGCATAACTTCCCCTCTTGGATGGAGCTCCACTTTAATAATCGCTAGTACTGTACGCAAGATTAGCTCAAAATATTAAAGGAAATGGACAGTAAAGATAGCTGAATGGCGATTCTGGCAAAACAAACTCAGCACAAATTGGCTCATCACGTAGACAGAGAAGTCAAAGGCAAGGAGAGGAAGTAGGACTAGAAGAGAACCTCTAGATGCAAATATTAAAAAAAAGGAACTGTCTTTGACCATAGTTAAGTTGTTTGCATATAACGAAAATTAACTACTAAAAATAATGACAAACATCTGAAGCAGCGGGGGAAGGGTGGGTCAATGATCTTTATCAGGCCAGTTGTAACTTGCTAACACTAAATTCACTCAGGCACAGACAGCAGCTAAATACTTATTCTTAGTTGATTGTCTGAATATAGACATCTGGAAGACCTTTGGCTCACAAGCATTTCCTGATAATAGATCTTAAAATTGTAAAATCTCAGCAAGCCAGCCCTGATCGTCACCATTACACTGAAACCACAACCTCTTTCACCCTGCATCTGTCATACCGAACATGCTTTTACCCTTTTCTATAGGAGGAGCTGATGGAAACCAAATGACAACACACAACCATGCCTAGGAGGGGACATGTCATGTACAGACAAGCACAATTTAAAAATGCGTACCAACACTGTCACAACAAATACATGGAACTGACAATAACTAGCAACCATAACCCAACAGCAATTATAATGGCCCTGCGCATTGTCTGATGAAAGACACGAGGTGAGGATCTCCCCCATCTTCATTGACACTGCTATGCCTCCAGGATCCACCACAATTATCTCACTTACTGGTGAATGCTGCACATGTCCTACAGAAGGTTCCATCAATTTTCTTCAAAGAAAACAGGAAAATCTGAATGTAGTTATACACAGAAAATCACCCTCCACATTCAGCATAAAAAGGAAGAAAAACCACAACTCTGAATGTATACAGGCTACAGGGTTGTCATTTTTTTTTAGTCTTTGCTTTACTAATTAATCACTGATCCTGAAATGAGAACTTACATATACACTGTATTATGGGTAGGTACACACCACAGCGCACATGTTGATGTGTACTGCCATGCACTGCAGGGTTTTGTTTTCTTGCTTTTTTTTTAAATTTTATGAATGAATACAAAGCTTTTGATTGGCTGATGTGGGAAGATGATGTCACAATCTCCACTTTAGCCAATTAGAGAAAAGCTCTCTTCTCGCTCTATTCATTCATAGCATACAAAGCTTCCTGTGAATGGCGAAACAGTCGACTTGACTTTGTTCTGGGGACAGGAAGCCATACTGCTGCAGAACGCTGTATACTGTATGTCGCTGAGGATAAAACATGGGGATCAGGTTTAAAGTGGTTCTAAAGGCTAAACATTTACCTTAATGTATCCTCTGCATTAATGTAAAACATGTCCCAGCAACTGTATCTCCCTCTTATACTTGCCTGAGTCCTCTCTCGATCTGTGCCCGTCTGCAGTGGCTCTCTCCTCTCTTTCTACTCACAGAGGAAGCAGCAGAAACCATTGGCTCCTGCTGTTGTCAATCACATCCTATGAGCAGAGAGTGGGGGTGGGGATGAGCTGTGTTGTGTGTGTCAATAGACACAAAGAGCCCAGCTCAGGATCTCGCCAGCAGGTGTGCCCCTATACCAGGGCTTAAAATTTCAAGTCCTGAGCTACTAGCCAGGCCTTAGAGATACTCGCCACCAACAAACACACACAGACAGACACCTGTACACACACACACACACACACGCGTATATACACACAGGCACGTACAGACACGCATACACACAGATACATGTACATACACAGAAATACAGACGCACAGACACATGTACATACATACACACAAACGTACATGCACACAGACACATGTACAGATACACACAGACACATGTACAATTGTACATGCATACACAGACACACACACAACACACACACATATGTACACGTACACCCCCCCCCCCCCCCACACCATAAAAAGTTGCAGTACTTTGTTGTTCACTCACAGATCCGGGTACTGCACTCTAGGGGGAGGCAGAGAGCACAGCACACACTCCTTGCTTTGCTTTCACTGTGCTCAGCTATTAAGCAGTCTGACGGCTCCCAGTGCCAATGACAGATCCGGCCTGAGCTCTGAGCCTGCTCAGCAAGACGGCCCTGGGACACACACTCGCCCCCCACCATAATTTCAACTCGCCATTGGCGAGCAGGCGAGTGGTAGTTTCAAGCCCTGCCCTATATAAAGCAGCTTCCTATGGTGAGGCACTGAGAAGAGGAGCCTGGAGCGCAAGTGGGAGACCTCAGAAGAGGAGGTTTGGGGCCAATCTGTGTAATGCCATTGCACAGACCAGGTAAGTATAACATCTTTATAAAGGCTTTTTCTTTTTCCAAATAAATGCTTTAAGTAACCATACTCCCACAGGCTTTGCTCAGGCCAGCAACGAGGTAGCTAAAAGGAAGAATAAAGACAACAGTGCTTGTACCTTCAATAATTAAGTGAGAAATTGCAGCTCTAATATTTCTATCTAAACAGGTTCCTTTAACCACTTGCTGCCAATTGCTCCCGCTGCCTCAGCAAAGCCTGTGAGACAGGAAGTGAGAGGAGAGAGCCACTGCAGATGGGCACAGTGCTAGATTGAGTGAGGTCCCCCATTTTTGTTACCCTAATGCCAGGACACAAGACATACAAATGTTTACAGTATTGATGAGATATGATTCAGATTGTCACGGTGTTACCATGTGCTTTACATATGCTGTGATAAAGCAGCTAATTTTTTTTTAATGGGTTGGCAACGCATCACAACTCAACATTAATGGGCCTGCATAGATTTGGACAACACAGCACATCACAGCACATGGATGCTTCACATGCAGTGGGTCATGCAGTGAGTCAATGGCTCAAGCTGCTGTCTCTAAGCCAATGAGATATGGAAGAGCTGAGACAGCCTTGGCTCTCATGCACATCGCTGGAGTGGGATAGGGATCAGGTGAAAGTGTTGGCGGGGAGTGGCATGAAGGTTTTTTACCTTCATGCAAAGAATGCATGAAGGTAAAAAAAACCTTGCGCCTTTATAACCATTTTAAGAGGGAAAGAAGCCAAGAAATCTTTCAAACATACAATCGTGAGTAGCAAGCCCTTACCACAGAATTAAGCAGGAGAGCAATAGAAGAGAATAGACTGCAATGTTAGATATCCGGGCCAGACATAAGGATTTGGTTGTAGAGAAAAACATATGCCAGAAGGTCAAATAAGGTCTTCACTTTACATGTAAACTATATATGGAGCCATTTATCAAGAACAGCAGAAGAAAGTCATTTGAGGTATTATTAAAGAATTATTTGTTGGAGAAATTAAGAAAAAATAAGGCACACAACAGAAGAAAAATGCCACTTAGGTGTCGTGTTTATGTTTGTGAAGTGAACATCGTTGGGTGAAATGATGATCCAAAATAACAAATTGACACAAAATAAACACATTCATCTTAGTGAGCTCAGCCTATATTAGGTCTGTAAAGAAATAGCACCAGCTAAGCTGGAACCAACAATTTGCCCTCTTTGAAGCTCAGTAAGCTCTGACATGACTCAATATTACCAGCAGCACATGCAGTAAATGACAAAAGTGAGGCTTCCTACCTGTTAGCTAGGTGTCACAGTGGAAACAAAAGAATGTTACACGACTTCCGCTTTCAACAAGAAACAGTTCATCAGTTTCACACCCGCAAATCATGTAGTATTTCCATTTTTTTTATGTAACCCGTGTGTGTATTTATGTATATATTACATATATATATTATTATACAGGATTTATATAGTGCCAACAGTTTGCGCAGCGCTTTACAATATAAAGTGAGACACTACAATTACAATACATTTCAGTAAAGAAGGAATAGGAGGGCCCTATTTGTGGAGCTTACAACACACACACACGGTAAAAGTATTGAACGCATCACCATTTTTCTCAGTAAGTACATTTCTAAAGGTCCTACTGACATGAAATTTTCACCACGTTGTTAACAACCCATGCAATCCATACATACAAAGAAACTAAAACAATTAAGTGCAGAAATTAAGTTAAGTTATGTGTACTAAAATGGAATGAGACAGGGAAGAACTATTGAACACGCTAACTGAAATTCATTTATTACTTTGTACAAAATCCTTTGTTGGTAATGACAGCTTTGAGACGCCTCCTGTATGGAGAAACTGGTCGCATGCATTGCTCAGGTGTGATTTTGGCCCAGTCTTCTACACAGCCTTCAAATCTTGATGGTTCCATGGGCCTCTTCTATGAACTCTGATCTTTAGTTCTTTCCATAGATTTTCTATAGGATTCAAGTCAGGAGATTGGCTGAACTATTATAGCAGCTTTATTTTCTTTGAAGCCAACTGAGAGTTTCCTTGGCTTTGTGTTTGGGATCATTGTTTTGCTGAAATGTCCACCCTCATTTCACCTTCATCATCCTGGTAGATGGCAGCAGACTTTTATCAAGAATGTCTTGGTACATTTTTCCATTCACTCTTCCTTCAATGACATGGAGTTTGACAGTACCGTATGCTGAAAAACAGCCCCGCACCATGATGTTCCCACCTCCAAACTTCACTGTTGGTATGGTGTTTTTGGGGTGATGTGCAGTGCCATTTGACCTCCAAACATGGTGTGTATTATGGCATCCAAAGAGTTCAATTTTGGTCTTATCTGACCAGTCTATATTCTCCCAGTATTTCACAGGCTTGTCTAAATGTTTGTTAGCACACTTTAAATGAGGTTCAACATGATTTTTTTTTAAGCAATGGAATCTTGCATGGTGAGCGTGCATACAGGCCATGGCGGTTGAGTGCATTACTTGTTTTCTTTCAAACAATTGTGGCTGATAATTTGAGGCATTTCTGAAGCTCTCCACAGGTGGTCCTTGGCTCTTGGACAACTCTTCTGATAATTCTTTTCACCCTTCTGTCAGAAATGTTGCGATGAGCACCTGGTCGTGGCTGGTTTATGGTGAAATTACGTTCTTTCAATTTCCGGATTATGACTCCAACAGTGCCCATTGGAACATTCAGAAGTGTATAAATCCTTCTGTGACCAATGTCAGTATGTTTTTCAACAAAATGTTGCAAAGGTCTTGAGAGAGCTCTTTGTTTTTACCCATCATGAGATGTTTCTTGTTTGACACTTTGGTAATGAGACACCTTTTTATAGGCCATCAGTTGAAATTGAACCAGCAAATATTACTTTGCACTGACAGGGGGCAGGATTGCCTTTTAATTACTGATAGATTTCAGCTGGTGTCTTGGCATTTCCATGCCTTTTTGCTCCTCCCTTTCTTCATGCGTTCAATACTTTTTTCCCTGTGTCATTCCATTTTATTACAGAACTTAATTTATGAACCTTTGTGTTTTGGTTTATTTGTATGTATGGATTGCATGGGTTGTTACCGACAAGTGGTGAAAATTTCATGCCAACAACACCTTTATAAATATATTTACTGTGTAAAATGGTGACGTGTTCAATACTTATTTTAATCACTCTATATACACTATAGTGCAAAAAAGTATTGGGACACCCCTCCAAATCACTGGATTCAGGTGTTCCAATCACCTCCATGGCCACAGGTGTATAAAATCAAGGACCTAGGCATGCAGATTGCTTCTACAAACATTTGTGAAAGAATGGGTCGCTCTCTTAGGATCTCAGTGAATTCAGTGATAAGTTACTACCTGTGCAATAAGTCCATCTGTGAAATTTCCTTGCTACTAAAAATTCCATGGTCAACTGTTAGTGGTATTATAACAAAGTGGCAGCAACTGGGAATAGCAACAACTCAGCCAAGAAGTGGTAGGTCATGTAAAAGGACAAAGCAGGGTCAGCAAATGCTGAAGTTGCCAACTGTCAGCACAGTCAGTCAATAGCTAAAGACCTCCAAACATTGTGTGGCCTTCAGATTATCACAACAGTGGATAGAGAGCTTCATGGAATGGATTTCCATGGTCGAGCTGCTGCATCCAAGCCTTACATCACCAAGTGCAATGCAAAGCGTCAGATGCAGTGGCGTAAATCACATCGACACTGGACTCTAGAGCAGTGGAGACGTGTTCTCTGGAGTGACGAATCACGCTTCTCTGTCTGGCAATCTGATGGAAGTGTCTGGGTTTGGTGGTTGCCAGAAGAACGGTACTTGCCTGACTGCATTGTGCCAAGTGTAAAGTTTGGTGGAGGGGGGATTATGGTGAGGGGTTGTTTTTCAGGGGTTGGGCTTGGCTCCTTAGTTCTGGTGAAGGGAACTCTTAGGGTGTCAGCATACCAAGACATGTTGGACCATTTCATGCTGCCAACTTTGTGGGACCAGTTTGGGGTTGGCCCCTTCCTGTACCAACATGACTGCACACCAGTGCACAAAGCAAGGTCCATAAAGACATGGATGAGCAAGTTTGGGGTGCAGGAACTTGACTGGCCTGACTGGCCTATGTAGAGTCCTGACCTCAACCCAATAGAACACCTTTGGGATTAGAATTAGAGCGTAGACTGCGAGCCAGGCTCTCATCCGACATCAGTGCCTGACCTCACAAATGCGCTTCTGGAAGAATGGTCAAACATTCCCATAGACACACTCCTAAACCTTGTGGACAACCTTCCCAGAAGAGTTGAAATTGTTATTGCTGCAAAGGGTGGACCAACTCAATATTGAACCCTACATACTAAGACTGGGATGCCATTAAAGTTCATGTGAGTGTAAAGGCAGGCGTCCCAATACTTCTGGCAATATAGTGTATGTGTGTATATATATATACACATACACACACACAGATATACAGGCGTACCTCGGTTTACGAATTTAATGCATTCTGAGGGACATTTCATATTGCGAAAAATTCTTAAACCGAACCGCAGTTTCCGTAGGAATGCATTGAAAACCAATTAATCCGTTCTGGAGGTCAGAAAAAAAAAAGTCAAAAAAAATTTTATCTGTTCAAATCTCTTTATAGAGTGCACTTTAAAGGCATAAATACTGTACAGGGACTAGAAGAAAAAAAATTGTAAATACATTGAAAGCCAATGTAATCCGTTCCGGAGGTCAGAAAAAAGTAAAAAAAAAAAAAAAAAAGTCTCATCTGTTCAAAACTCTTTACAAAGTGCACTTTAAAGGCACAGGGCCGACGCTATAAACGCTCGTATTGTGAAAAAAATTTGTAAATCGTGCCATTATTTTCAATGGATTTTCATTCGTAAACCAAAAATTACG